ACTGAGATTTTGCAAGGAAAACTGATAGCAAAAAGTTATTTAGCATAAATAAGAGGAAAACAATTTAAGAAAAATGGATCCAGTGTGGTTTCTGAAAACAACAAATATATTTGCTTTAAGGTGGAACACGTGAGTTAACAAAAAGTGTATGCTTGGAGGTTTTACTGAAGATACACAAACATATTCAGGAAGACTGGGACAGAAACAATACAAAGATCTAGGAATAAGGTAGAACATTTTAAATTAAAGTATTAAAATTATGAGCCACCAATGTGTCCCTGTAGAAAGAAGGCAAATATCATCTTGTGCTGCATTAGGCAGAGCAGATCGAGAGAGTTGATCCTTCCTCTCAGCTCTCCCCTGGTAAGACACATCTGGAGTGCTGGGTGCAGTACCGGGCTCCCCACTATGGGACATGGACACACTGGAGCGAGTCCAGCACAGGGCCCCAAAGGTGACTAGGGGACTGGGGTACTTGACATAAGAGGGGACCGCTCAGCCTGGAGAAGAGAAGCCACAGGGGCATTTATCCACGTGTATAAATACCTGATGGGGTGAGTAAACACAACAGACTCTTCTCAGTGGGGCCCAGTGAAAGGACGAGAGGCAATGGACACAAACTGAAATGCAAGAATTATTTTTTTTTTCTTTAAATTTTTTGCCTTTTGTTTTGCATTAGGTAGTTGGCATCTTTAATGACTTGGTAAATACATTTATTAGGAAAGAACTAGATAAATAATCAGAAATCAGAGATGTTTAGTATTGTGCCATTCCTATTTTTTTTTTTGTCTTGTATCACACCAAGCTGAACACGCATCATTACTTGCAACACAGAAATTGTAACTTAAAAAGTACAGTAACCCTACAGACATCTGTATCATCACCAAACTGAAGAGCCATTCGTGCTAATTCAGCCAAGGCAAAATAAAATAATAGAAGTTTGTAAAATAATTATACACACCCAGATGCCATGATAAGATAAGGAGCACTTAGCATCAGAGCATAAGTCACATTCTGCTGTGGATTTACTGTTACAAGTCACTAGGAAGTATTTCACAACATCCCTGACTCACCCATGTGTGATCCAGGATGCAATCAATGGCCACAGAAATTTGTCTCTAGCCTTGTACCAGAACACCGTACTTCGAACCCTGTATGCCTAGGCAAAACTCAGGATTAAGGCTGCACGCTGCCCTTAAACAAGGTTGTTTGCTTGTCACTCACAGACTCTGGACTGCAGAGAAAATTGGTCATATTATAACGTTCTCTGGTAGCCCTGAGGATCTTTAGGCTATGACTGCTAAGGTCAAGTGTGTAAACAGAAGACCTGGACTTTTTTAAACTGAAGCGTTTGAATCTGCCACATCACTCTAAAGAAAAGACTGGATGGGGGCCATATCTCCATATCTCCCCAGTTACATCCCACAACTTCTCCACAGATGCAGCTGTATCTCCATCACGAAGAGAGGAGAGGAGATTCTGCCTCAAAGTGTCTAAGTTATCCCCTTTGCAGTTTTAAGTGGTAAATTGAATTCCTTGGAGGTTGGATATACCTCTTAAACAGTCAAATGTTTGTTAATGCAATGAACACCAGCCTGAAATGAGGAACAGTGGGTGTCTTCGTAGCACAGGGGGAGGGAACTTTGTCCTGTCTGTCCTCTAGAAAAACTGATTGTTATGAAACTGTTTGGGAATTGAGAAGCTCTTTTACCTGTAGACTGCAAAAAATCATCCTTTTATGTTGTTTTTTTTTTCACTTCTCCAGCCCTCAGGCCCACAACCACAGAAGATTATTGGCTTCACCTGCTGCAGGTTGTACAGCTCATGTTTAAAAGCACAAAGGTGAGAGGAGGTGCCTCTTGAGATTTGCATTACCAAGATAAGACATAGAATCACAGAATCATTTAGGTTGAAAAAGACCTTTAAGATCATCGAGTCCAACCATAAACCTAACACTGCCAAGCCCACCACTATAACATGTCCCTAAGTGCCACATCTACAGGACTTTTAAATACCTCTAGGGACGGTGACTCAACCACTTCCCTGGGCAGCCTGTTCCAACACGTGATAACCCTTTCAGTGAAGAACTTTTTCCTGATATCCAATCTAAACCTCCTCTGGTGCAACTTGAGGCACTTTCCTCTTGTACTATCACATATTTTATAAGATTTGCTAAGAAATGAACACTCCACCCTTGAACTGGTTCTTTGACAGCACACATTCCAGTTCCTCATTCTTTGCCTCCTGAGGTAAATGAACTGAGTATTGCTCATAAAATTATAGAATGAACTTTCCCATGACCAGTGAAATTTGTTATAAACAAGATAGTCTCTGAACTTGAGTCAACAAAAGAGAGGCAGAGCGACTGTGTAGCAAATGCAGTATCTACACAGAAGTCGTTCTACGTGCAGAAGGACACAAAGCATTCAGGGAAAATAGCTTCTCACCTGTCTTCCACAACACCCTCTTCTTCAATGAGTGATTGCGTATCAGATTTCTTTGGGAGGCTGGCTGTGTGAAGTTTAATTCATGAGGGTTTTTTGCAGAACCAAAAGACAGTGTGCAGGGCGTTTCTTTCAGGAGATGTCTTCTGTATAATGGTATAAATCTGATCTTCAGATTTTATGGGACTGGCCTGGATAAAAGCTAATATTCCAAAATAAAAATAGCTTCTCAGAGTTAATCCATTTTGATGAAAAAATCTCTCTTTTATTTGCCAAAATATACAGCTCTGAACTGACTTTAAAGAATCTGAAATGTTCAGTGGTTAATTCTGTTATGTAATTCTTAAATCCATCCTTTCCTGCCCAGCAAGCTGTCATGAGAAATATGCTTTGTTAGCTGGGATCACCTGTTTCACATACACTGTCTCAGCTGTCAAAATGATAAAAAGTAAAACCTTCTGCTGACGTGTATAAGGAAAACATAACATTTCAGCCACAGAAGAGCTCTTTGTTTATATCAGGATTCTAATTATTACAAAATTTGATAGATGAAAAGGCAAAAAGAAAAGAATCAGTCCTTCCAGGAGAAGGTACAGAAAAAAATCCTTTTATTTGGATGTTGTGTTCTCTGGGAACTTAAGGAATAGCATAACTGAGTCTCTAGGAAAAAAAAGGTGGTTTTTTTAGTCTTAGAAGGGGGTAATGCAGTGACCTTCTGAGTTCCCTCCCAACCTAAAATATTCTATGAAAATTAATGGCATTAAACTCTTAGAAAACCACTTACTACTTCACACTATTTGATGTATATTGTGGTAATATTTTAATATAATATCTGGAAATATTATATTATTATACAAAACTTTACATAAGTTTGTGTTACATATATAAAAGAAGACATTTACTAAATCATATATATCATATACCTATGTAATAATTATAATTACATAGTGTTAATACCATAACATTGTAATTAATTAGAACTGTACTTCCCTACATTTCAAAAGCCTCTGAGATGTCAAATACTCTCTGTCCTTTTTCGTTTTAGCAGACTCACATGCTCCACCATTAATCATCTGAGAACTTTGTACAAAATACACCATGAAAGTAGGTTTTGCTGTTTACTCACTGTTTATCTTGTTTACAAAAGTACAGCAAACAAAGACATTAAGCAAAGATATACAGAAGAAATGTATTTTGATGTTAAACTTTTTATCTAGTTTCTTAAGTAAGCAGTGACAAAGCAAAGCAAACACACACACACACACACACAAACATCAAGCACATTTTAGGGCATCCACAGGAGAAATGCACGTCTCCTTTCCTTCTTAAATTCACTGCAAAAACATCCTTTGACTGCTGGGGGAGCAAGAATTTTCCCAATGTATTTTTGAAACATTCAGCTGTGGTGCACTCACCGTGCAGTGTCTTGGTCACTAGCCAGATAACTATTTCTGCATAGAACAGAAAGAATAAACTACATCTATAGCATATGAAATCAAACTGAGCAGTCTGTTGCCTCAGGCCGACTCCCTGTCTCAAACAATATGGTAGAAATGAACGTATAAAAGAGGCTAAAGTTAGCAATTAAATTTCTTTGTATTATTATACCAAAAATATAATCTCATACAGAATGAACAGTCAGCTATGAATTTATTGTATAATAATAGGAATCTTATAATGTCATTAGACAGGTAATTTTTCTATTTCTGCAATAAGGAGATGAACTTTACCACTGCTACAATGTTCATCATCTGAATGTCTAGCCTTATGATTTTATCTATGCCCCTATTATCTTTTGTCCTAATAGCCTCACTAAGGAGTACATACAGACAAATCACTCTTTTGTAGTCATTAGAATGTTATTAAATTGCATAGAAGAATCAACTCAGCTTCTAGAAGTTAATGTACTCACAGGGATGACTCACAGCTGGAGCAGTTTCCACCCTAGCTCTCAACTCTGCCCCTAAGGAGCTTCTGCTCCTGCAGAAGAGGGTTGTGCCTGGAGAGAACCAAATGCCTGTGAGTAAGCTGTTCTGATAATGGACCAAGAGCATTACTGGAATTAGACAGAAGTTAATAACAAGTAGCTGCAATATGAATATATATGTACATTCTGTTAACGAACCACTTCTGGGTGGAGTGAAATGTCAAAGACCCCGGAATATGAAGGAATAACATGACTACTGTGTGCTGCAGTTATCAGAAACTTACCTTGGGAATCATGAGCAGGAAATTATGCTTTGAAGTATATTAAAGAAAAACAGGAACCTGCTGTTGGAAAACCGTTCAGCCAGTGTATAAGATGCACATCATTTGACCATGTACAGAACTGCATAATAACCCATTGAAATAGCCATAACTGATAACATAGGTGGAGCCATCTTTACGTTGCATTATGTTGCATCTTTACGTTGCATCTTTACGTTGCCTGTAACAAACACCTCCTGTTTCACAAGTGTCTGTGCTTCAGAATCCAGTATGCAAATCTGCCCACTCTGGTTGCCTGCAACGCTATGTATGTGTTACCTTATGGTCACTCTGGTTGCCTGCAACGCTATGTATGTGTTACCTTATGGTCACTCCAGGGAAACTCGCCACTTACGTTTGCCTCTGGTCGAGCATCCTGCCCTTCAGGCAAGCCCTTCAGGCTTGGTTGTAATCCAGCTGGCTCTGACAGAAGCGGTATTAACACTAGCATTAGCCCGGGTTTCCTGCACTGCTGCAGGCTGGTTCCTGTGCTGGGTCAGGACTGTGTGGGGAGCAGTTCATCCTCGCTTTCCAGGAGAGGAGCATGAATAGCTGAACCAGTTACTGTTTCAGACAAGTGATTTTCTTCTTTTTGTGTGTTATGCTTCTTCACCATTGCACCAGGAAAGTGCAGTCTTTAGATCAGCTGTCCTAAGTAATGCTTAAAATATGTAGTCGCTGCAGATCCTCAGAAAGCACACAGTATATTAACAAAATGTCAAATTCAGTCTTTGAAGATCAGTCCACATATCCACTTTCTCCTTGAGTGACTGGGCTTTTTGCCCTAATGATATCTACTAAATACGCTTCAACCTTCTCATGTTCTCCTCAGGATACTGTACGGGTTTTTTCACCTCACAACCTCAGCTATTCTCTGCTCCTGAACAACGCTTTTCTCTTGGGCAGCTTCATTGATAGCTTCACTGTTAGCTTGGTTAGCTTCCTTCCTGTCTTTTTCTTGTAGTTTTATTTTGGTTTATTTCATTTGAGAGTTTCTTCTTCCTAGAGCTGGGCTGTTGTTTTTTTCCCCCATAAGCATACATTCGGGTTCTGCTTTCGCGAACCCAGAGGGAAGTATATGCAGTATCTTCCAAATTCATTTCAAATCCAATTCAACTCCCACTTCAAACACAGCAAGGCATCTTTTATGAAGTTCAAAAAGTTTGGTGTTCATTTTGGTGTCCTCCCTGAGCTAAGTTTGCCAGCTTATACAGAAAATGAGTTTTCTGGCTCAGGAAGAAACTTGTGCATTATATGGGTCTGTCTCTATTCCTTTGAACCTAGAACACTCCAAAAAAAGAGAGCAAAAGCTTCAGCAGTAGCTCCTGCTGGTGCATGCCATCACGTTAGTGTCAGACCTTGGCATCAGAAAGGATCCGTGATTCTGGATAAGTCCTTTTGTATGCTGGTGCCTGGAAGCATCATTCAAACTAAGACTTCCTCATCTGACATCTCCTTCCACAACTTCTCCCAACTCTTGACTGTTGACTGAAGATGTCTAAGGCAATCTGGTTTCTTAATATCCAGTTGCCAATTCAGGAGGTTCTAGGTTAGGCTTCAAAGCCCTTCGCCAATAACAGCAAGGCCTTGAAGGAGGAGTAAAAGAAGAAAAGATGGTCCATTTTCCTTGGCTTAATTGAGCCCCCAGAACTGTTTACAGCTCCTGCCACGTCAGCTAGTACTGCTGAAAGAGAGAGAAAAAAAAAAAAAAAAAGATTACTAAGAAGACAACCTTTTAGGTTTTCTGCAGAACTCAGTCTCCAGAAGTCCTTTAGAATCACACTTGAAACTTTACATTTCTCAGTCCAGCCTTTTAGGAAAATACTGACACTGTTCCCTCCAGAAAGGAAAGGCTATGGGAAAGGGCTACTTCTGACATCAAGGCTAGGACTGTCCCGGGCTCTCCTCTTCCTAGAACCCAAACTCCATCAGAGCAGGGATGCTCCTCACACAAGATGTTCAGCCTCTTCTGTCCTGATAGTGGATTCTGCGAAGCCGTGTTTTTCTACACTTCCAAACACTGCATTTTTTCATGAAAATGGCCCGTTTATCCCCAATATCAGTCAGAAAGGATTTCTCACCCTACATACAGAACCCCTAGATTCACAACATAAATCCAGAGTATTTTCATAATCTCTTGTGCAAGGTATATGTTATGATACTGCTGGAGGAGTAAGCAACACTGAACAAGGTTTATGGGACAATATCCAATACCCAATCTCTCCAGAATGTCTTTACCTATAAATCAGGTTCCACTGGACTCTTCTTACCTCCTTAGTGATGTTCTGAAGAACTAGTAGACTGTAAATATCGGGTTCTTGCTGGGACTACAAAGTTTTTGTTTTAACACCCACCATCTTCTTTCATTTAGGGAAATAGCTAGAAAACTCAAAAATACATAAAAAGATTAGAGCCCTAAAAACAGGGGAAGTTTTAATCTGGCAGCAACTCTTAAGTCTTGGTTATCCAATTACCATACCAAGCTTTGCTCCTAGGTCATCACTCCTTTATTTTGAACCATCTGTGCAGGTTAGATAGCTGTTTAACTATTAATCTAGTAGCAATTTCTACCCATTCTCCAGCTGTTAAAAACTGATGCAAAACTTAAAAACTCAAGCAAAGGCATGTCCCGTGCTCCTCTTCTGGCAAGAAATTCCTTGACACTGTGAAAACTGAGATTGGGATTTGCATTACTTCTGAGTCCTTGATGACCTGGGTATGAAAGTAATCATCACTGTTATCAGCAGTTCCACTTGCAATGTACGTGACATTCAGGTACTTACAGAAGATCATTCTAACAAGCCTGTTTTTCTGATGGGTTATTCCTTCACACACACACCATGCTTCTGCATAACAATGTTGCCAAATTTACTATAAGATTAGCTGAATTCCTATGCTTTCCTAGTCCTCCAGTCTCTAAAATGGAAGAATCACTGTACTCCTTGGCTGCCCATGGGGATCTGCCTTTTTGTATTTCAAAACTTTGAGATGCTCCCTGATATCATTCATCCCTATTGCTAACACCAAGCCCCACTGAGGTATTTTTGATTTGGGTATTTAAGGAAAAGGTGACATCAGTGAATGACTGTCTCAGAATGATCTTGGGACTGTCTCCATCTTCAAAATCTATAGGATGGCCCCCTATAGCTTCTTTATTAAACCACTATAGACTATGAAGCACTGCTAAGGCTGCTAAAGCATTTGAAAATGGTGCAGGTAGTGGCAGCAGTCCTGAGGTCACTGTTTGCTTGAAGCACTTTTATTGTTTCAGATTCTGCATGGAAACCAGCATGTAATACTTCTGAAGGAAAGAAAAGAGGTTGTTTAGCTGCAGCTTAAGTTTCTTGAGAACTGTAATCCGCTAGTACACTAGCTTCATGTTCTCCTCTGTCCTTACTTCATATTCCAACTTATCTCTGTTTAGATCACAAATGGAGAGGAACTGAAAGCATGCGGCTGATGTCTACCTACAGACTTGTCATGGAGTTAAAGGGAGCACAGCGGGAGCATGGCTACAGGTACTCAGTACTGAGTGCTTGTTGCACTTACCCTCAAAAAAAGTCACAGAACCACAGAATCATGTCTGCTGGAAGGAACCTCTGGCAGTCAACTGGTCCTACGCCCTGTTCAAAGCAGGTCCAGTTAGAGCAGGTTGGTCAGGCCTTGCCCAGTTGCATTTTGAGTATCCTGAAGAATGGAGATTGTACGGCCTCTCTGGGCATCTGCTCCAGCGTATGACAACTCTGACTGGGGAGGAGGGGGAGTTTTTTTAAAAAAAAAAGTTGCTTGTTTCTAGCCATTCCTTACATCGAAACAGAATTACATGTGTTCTGGCTGGTGTCTCTTCCCTCCTGTCCTGTCACCATGCACCTCCATGAAGAGACTGGATCCATCTCCTCTATATCCTTGCACTGGGTAGCTATAGGCAGCAGTAAGATGTCCCTTAGGCCTTCTCTTCTTACAGCTGAGCAGACACAGGTCTCTCAGACGCTCTTTGTACATTATCTACCAATCCCCAAGAACTTCAGCTGCTGGTAACTAACATCACTTTGCCTTAGGATATAACCAGAGCATAAACAATCGCCAGAAGACCTCTTCATAGCTGAGCTCTCCCATCAGTTTTATGAGAGATGATACACTAGTTTTGTGACGTAAAATTGACAACAGCAATGTATTGAAGTTATTGTCAAAAACACACAATATAGTTCAGTCTTCATGACAATAATGTAGCCATTAATATCTCCAGAACTTCCCAACAGATAGCTAACATTTGATCTGACGATATGGAGGCTGAAGGTCCGTGAGCAGCTGAGGCAATCTAAGAGGCTGCAGTTGCTGAATATTTCATGCTGTCCCTAGTCTCCTCCACATCATCTCCTACTTATTCTTAACCTTTCCCATGCTCCTAGCTGTGGAAAGTTCTGCTTTTGCACCAGCTCTGGCACTCATTACAGTAAGTGAGTCAATTCAGCTTCTTGGCAGAAAACAATCTCCTTTTATTTTGTCTGGGTATGTTTTCTGCCATATTAATGAGCTCAGACAACTCAAGAAACGATCCAACAAAAACCAGACCCATTGCACAATAAGCAGAAACTGTGTACAGCCAGGATCAGGATGGCAGTGGTAAAAAAAGATCATCTTTTAGGACCTATGTGTGGCTAGCTCAACTTTCCCTGTGGAATCCTGCCTCTGCTGGTTATTATTAGATTATTCAGTCCTGTTCTCTGAGGCCGACAGGAATGCAGTTGGTGGTTCCTGAGAAATGCAGTGGCTAAGGAATGCAGTGCCTTTGGACCTGATGGAAAGCTGTCCCTTACCTCTGCTCTGCTAAGGACTTGCTACGTGACCGCTGGCCAGTAATTTAGCTGCTCTGAGCCTTTCTCCATATCTGTAAAAAAATGCTAGAAGCATTACACTTCTGCAAGAGGTTTTGTAGAGATAATACATCAAAAGCTTTTGAAGTTCATAGACAAAGAAATGTATGGATCCTGGAGCCATCTAATCACCTAGAGTAAACAACTAGACCACTATATAATAATCAGTACTAAACTCTCAATGCCCATTCTGAGGATGTTGCACAGCAATTCAACATTCAATAACCAAACTGAAACAGAAAACATAAAGTATGGGATATATTTTCTTCAATATACTAAATATGTATTTTCCTTGATATAACTGAATATATTTCTACACAATAAACATGTATTTGATGGTATGTTTTAATAGACACTATACTTCAGTACTCTCTGTGAACATATGGCACCTCTCACTTGAAACTTTAATTTTTCTGCTTTGCTTTAGTTCTTCTGCATGATGAAAGACCTTAGGTTAGTGCAGGATTACCAGAATTTGTTTAAATCCAGTGCAGTGTCAGTCTCAGGGTTCTCATACAATTCCAATGCTGCTTCTTGGTTTAATATGTTCACAACATATGG